TAAATAAAAACAAGCGGATAAACAAAATTACCTTCGCTAAATGAGATAGATAATAGTGTTGCGTCATCAAGATCACATGACTATTCTCACGCCTCTACTTTCTAGAACTATCCTGTACTTTGGCGAATGCTCTAGCATTTACTAGATATAGGGTAGTCTGGTATATAAAAGAGGGTGACAACATGACGGTAATGTAATGTGTGTGTAGATAGTGAGTAATTGAACTGCAGTCAGAAGTATTGTTGACGTTCGTTGATATAGCGTTTGTTATAGAGAGATTGTTGAAAATAAGTGTATCGTAAAGTTGTATTCGGAAAGAATAAACCAATTTTATTAAGTAAAGACTTGTGTCGCTAAAGTTTCGTCGGAACGAAGTTACGGAAAGTTAATTAACAAACGGAGACGTAACAACTTGTTATATCAACCTGAAATGCTTTTAAGAGACAATTGTTAATACAGATGATTGTATAAAGATTGTAAGAAGTATTAAGTAAAATAATTATTTGTGCATTTCTAAGATTTGCAAAATTTATAATTTTTTATAATTAATTATAAACTTACTGATTTTATTGCATGCCTCTTTCTCAGAAGATTTACTTAATATCACACTTTTCAAAGCTGAAACAAAGGCTACGTAGCATGTCTTAATACAGAGAATTGGGTATATTAAAACAACTTTGAATATGTAAATCAGCAAGTCCCATAAAGCAAACACAGCCAAAATAATAGTGTGGTGGTACAGCTTGTATCAGAACAACATTTTCACATTTTTTAGAATTTCATAGATAGTGTGATACCACAGAAAATGGATTGGATTTGGGAAAGGTAGATAACAGACCTTCGTGATACAAAATATTCATACACTTATATCATAAGATGTGTTCAGATCAGGCCTTAAGAATTTCCAAGACAGTGATATCTATTTTATTTACTGGAATTGGAAAACAAAGGAATAGGAATTCACTTGGAGCATCAGGGTCATCAAGAAAGAGACGTGCAATAAGTTGTACCCGTTCATGGTAAGTAAAGTGTGATGTCTTGTAACAGGTGAATATTGATGAACATAAATGTCAGTGGCAAAAGCCATTCATGTATCCTAGACAACAGTACACAACATAATCAAAGGATTTCCATCTGAAAATGAAGTCAACAATGTAGGGGTTCACTAAGCCAAGGCTTCCAGTCATACCACCTGTTCATCCATCACACACTTGAAACAGCTGGAGAATGAAGTTGGTATTCATGCTATTCCATATGAAGATCTACCTGTTAATTCACTGGATTCAGCACCTATGAATTTCTGTGTGGTCAGACTTTTTAAACAGGTGATTATGGAAGGCCTACAGGGAGAAGCAATGTTGTTTAGACATGACAGCCTTTCAGTGGAGCATTTTGCAATGGAAATAGTGCTGCAAGGCTATTGTCAAAAAGCATAGTCGTATATGACAACATATACTGTAATAATATGGTGAGGCTCCAAATTAATTTTAATATTACATAGTCAACCTCTGTATATGTGCCTGTGGCAGTACTCTAGAGGAGCAAAATTATATGTTCCCATGGCAGTTAGAGTTAATATAATTTTTACTCGTCATATAATCTTAGTTTTAAAGCTTTAAGTTAAAAAGAAAGAGATAGCAGAAATATTAATGCAAACACAAAAAAAAAAAATATATTCTGTACTAGAAATTTAATTTGTTAAAAGATTGTACTTTTTAGTGTAACAGTTAATGTTAATAGAAAATTGAGTCTTGTACTCATTTAAAGATAATTTTAGCATTAAAATTCTTGCACATGTTTGATTTAGGGTATTTTTAAGCTAAAGTTTATGATGTACCATGTATTGATTTTTGTTTCAGTGAGTCTCACATGTTCAACAAGTTAGAAGAGATTGCTCAGTCGCAACAACCTCAAACACCTGTATTGAAATGTCAGATCAGTCGAGCATTAGAACCACAAACCGTCAAAAGTAATGTATGTGTTTTATCCTCAAGATTTTTATTTTTACATAATTTTTTTTATCTTCAGGTTATGCTCAGTTCTGAGAAAAAGTTGATTCTCTAAACTAATTACTGTTAAAAATCAACTTAACCATATATAATACCAACTATTAATTCTATTATTCTTGCCTACATTTGAATTTTTTTTTTTTTTCAGAAACTGAAAATGGGTTTCTTTTGTTTTTAACTTTTCTTGAATTGTTTGTTTTATTAATTCAAATCACAGATGTTAGAAAAAAATTACTTGATTATTTTCTATTTATCTCACAAAACCTGTGTCCAGGGTCAGATTTAGTCAGGAGTATATGTGACTGTTCTTTTTCAAAAGATCATTAAACAATGTATAGCAAAAGACTTAAAATTTTGAAAAAGTTAGCCTTTCATTGAAGCTGGAATACTAGTATAGCAGGGCTTTTAAGCCAATAACAGGCTGCATAATCACGACCCAAGCAAACCTGAAGCATTACCCCAAAAAAACTAGAATCATGGCAATTTCTTGTGACTACAGACTTGTTAAGTCCAACTCCTGATGTAGCTTCCATGGACTTTTGTGCCTTTCTGCTTCAACATGGTCTCAGAAGCCAACATCACATACAGTGGGGGATCTTTTTTTAAAGTTAAGGATGTCTGGTCTAAGACCAACCTTGCCATTCTTCCAAAAAGCTTGTTGCAATTTAAATTTAAGATATCAGGCAGTCATATGTAGTCATGGCTATCAAATTGGCACAATCAGTGATGAACAAAATAGTTCTGAGTACAGAACAGGACCTAGAACATTGTTCTTATAATGTATTTCTTTGTCGTTAGAAATATTGTTCTCTTATATATAGGGGGGAATATGTATATATTTTTGTGTGCACACATATTGAAAAGCCTTCATGATTATTGTGATCAGTGTTTTCAAGATAAAAAATGCATGAGGTTAATACAATGTAAAAATTTAACCTTTATTTAATTTATTGCTTAAGCATGTGTGCACTTAACTTCCTAGCAACCATTGGTTCGTGTGATGCTTTTTTCTGAGTAGTTTTAATGTGCGTATATTTAACGTTATAGTTTATGACAAGCCGAATCAACTGGGTTGTGCAAAGCTCTGCTGTAGACTACCTTCATCTTATCCTGGTATCCATGAGATATTTGTTTGAAGACTTTGACATAGATGGTCGTTTTACTATCAGCATTCATGATGAAGTTCGTTATCTAGTAAAGAGTGAGGATAGGTACCGAGCAGCCTTAGCACTCCAAGTATCCAATCTCCTAACTCGATCCATGTTTGCATTTAAGCTTAAGATGGATGATTTACCTCAGGTTTGTCAAGAACACTTTGATAAAGTTGTACTAATTTCTTTTAACTTTATAACACATGTTTTATTTCTGAATATAACTAAATTCTCTCTCTCAGAATACAATTTATAAAACTGGAATTTTTTTTATATATACAAATATTGAATAATGTTATCATAAATTTATATTAATGAATCTTAGAAGCAGATTTAACTGTAGTGACAAAGTGGTTGTTTTTGTATCCTAAACTTCAATGTTTGAACAATACCTTCATGAACAACAGTTTGATTTCTTTCAGTCTGTAGCATTCTTCAGTTCTGTAGATGTAGACTCAGTTCTAAGAAAAGAGGTAAACATGGACTGTAGAACTCCTTCAAATCCTCATGGCTTAGAGAAAGGCTATGGTGTACCTCCAGGTCAGTTGTATTGAACATGTAAACTTGAAAAATAACTCCAGTAGCTACTGTTGCTTATATTTTAAGTATAAAATTTGTATTCAATAAATATTATTGGTAAATAGTCAAATTAAATTGTAAATGTAGTATTTTGTCATAAAAACAATTATTTGTAAATCTTTTGGATGGAAAGTTCACCTATGTATACTGTTGGTATAAGTTTGACATTGTTTTCCAACCGTTAATCATCTGAAAAAATTATGAGAAGGATAGTTCATACCCTACATTTCTTTGTTATGGGTCATTCCATTGGTTACATTGTTTTTCTTAAGTGAGGTTATCCTGACTACAGAAGTGAACATTTGTTTCTAAAGGTTGTAAGTACATTTAGTTTGTCAATGTCATCAATATTCAACACAAACTTATTTCCAAACTACTTTACCGCTTTTTATCTGCAAATGCATAGACTGAAGAAACAGTAATTGTCTTAGCAGCTAATAAAATCCAATGTTATACATGTGATGAACAAGATTGTGTGTTAGAGATTTCTATTTGTCACTTCACTATAAAGAAATTTACAGTAAATGACACATTGATATTACAAAATTTTTGAAAAGATCAAAGTAATGACTGCTCATAGGATTGATTGAAGTATTATGTTCAGAATATTATTTGTTTGATTTTTCATATGAAGTTCTATTCACTGAAATATGCATAGGTATTTGCATCATTTAACTCCAAAATATGTGCCATTTAACTTTCACCTTGTACATACATTTTTACATATACTCTTGCACTTGTTGATTCCTGTTATGAATTCTGCTCTTAATTTTTTATAATGTTACTTCCCCCAACCTTGGTGTCTGATATCATAAACTTCCTTGTTTTCTCTAGCTAAATCGTGAGAACTCGGCACCAGTAAGAATAACTGCTATTTCTCATCTTACAGTCTGGAATGTCTGTCTAATTAAATTATATGACCTGCATTGCTTTCTTTCACTCGACATTTATCAGTCTTGTTAGTTCAAACTTTTCATATCCATATTTGGTTATCTAGTGTTCTCTTAAGCTGTCTATTACATCCAGTGTCTTTAATACATTTGCCATTCTATAAACTCCAATTAAATGTTTTCTGACAACCAAAAAGTTAAAATTGTATTTCATATATAAATTGTGTTAAGAAATATATTTTTTTTTGCATATTGTTGTTTATTATACAAAATTTAGAGCAATATTTTGATAAAAACTTTTTCCTTATCTGTGTAGGTGAATCCTTAGATATTTATGAAATTATCAAACAAACTAATGGAGGATCTCTACAAAAAACAAGCAGTTGTTGATACAGTTTCAAAAAGTACTTTACATGTATAAGTATATATATATATGTTTGTAAATAAAATTATTTTTGTGTCAACTTGAATTTTTGTCTGTCTGCTAATATCCATAAAATACACATTTAAAACTCAAGAAGACACAATGTCAAAATTAGCTTTGTTTTCCAAATATATGAACCTTTTTTTTCTTAAGCCAAATAACATAAATCTACTTAGTTATGTTTGTATATTTGTTTTTGTAACCTGTTAGTAGAGTCTTTCTTTTCTGATTAGTAACTAGAATATTTAAAACAAATAATGGCTGAATTAAAATTAAACTATACAACAAAATATTTGTCATTACTGAATGGCCCATGAATAAACATTATTTTTCTTAAAGTACCTTGGTAAACAGTTGTCTAGTAGCATGGCAAGCATATAATTTGGGATTGCAAGATTTTACAATGGAGTAACTGTAAGTAGGGTCTTTGTAACCTTCTAGCTATGGGGAGGGTTAAGATTTTGTTTATGTAATTTAGGCCTCAAATTTGACTTTTTAATGCATTTTAGGGCAGAAAATTTTAATTTTTCTTTTACTAAAATGTAAGTGAAATATATATTGGTACATGGATTGTATCCTAGCAAAGAGAAACTTGGTGAGTTAGAGTATAAGGTTGATAATGTGATACTTTTGAAATTTATAAATAAAATTGTAGCACTTACTTTAATGAAGTACCATTTATGGACTCCCTGGTGTTGGAAGAAGTGAAAACATTGTTATCAGATCTTCATGTTCAATAAGAATTTCCCATTCTATTGTCAACAAAGCCAATCATTCCTGGCCAGTTGTGTTGCAAAGATAAGTTTCAAGTCTTTGCAAACACAACAATTACCTTTCACAAAATGTGAACTTACAGGTACAGTCAAAATCAGTTTCAACAGCACTGCAATCATTGGAATTAAATCTTTATAACACTTGTTCTGAAACATACACTGCATACTGCCCTCCAAAAGTATGAATTCCTGCTTAAAATGTTCCAACAAGACTAATATGTATACAACTCATAATGGGTACTTTAATTTGTAACAGGTGTAATTCATAATAAAACACAACTAACTCTTAACACACACAAGTACACCTTTCTCAGAACAATACCTAAAGCTAAAACCTCATATTGCTAGTATTTGGGCTTTACAGCTGTGTCAAGTTTTTGTCAAAGTATAAATGCCAGTTTAATTGGACTCTATTTTTTTTATTTTTTCCAGTTTAGTAGAAGGTATTTTTTAACCAAAATGTGCATGAGAATTTATATGGTAATATGTGTTGAGCTAATTTGGTGATTTTTATGATATGGTGAAACTCCTCAAGAAGAATGAGGAATTTTGATCTGAAATAAGATCTCAGGTTGTTATTCTTGCTCAGGAAAATTATTGCTACAGAGCTATTGTTCAGAAAATGCGTATCTCTTTGGGAGCTGTATAGTGAACAATTGGCCTCTACCAATAAACTGATAAATACAAGTCAAGAAAGAGAGGTGGGAGATGAATGCTAACAATGATATCCAAGACAGACTTGCTACTGTATCTAAATGTACTTGGAAGTCAACTGAAAGCATTGATATTAATGTGTCTAATAACACAACAACAAGAATGCAGAGGGATTAGTGTTACACCAAAGAAGCCTCTCATAAACTCCAGAAATATATAGAAGCATCCAGTTTACTAATTACCACCAGAATTGAGTTGCTCAGTAGAAAATAGTACTGTTCATGCAAAGAATGAAATGTGACAAGGAGAAGTACAAACCAGAATATGTAGTTAGCTTGATGAATCGTGGAGGAGGATCTATAATGATTGAAGATTACTTTCTGCAGCAAATATATTAGAGGTGCCATAAAAATAAACAGAAAAGATTGATGTCTACCATTCCATCCTAGCATATGCCATCTTAAGTGGAACACAACTAGTAGGTAGGTTTATTTTTCACCAGAATAATGACCACACCACACTCAATAACAGGGTGGAAAGGAGAAGCATAAACCAGAATGTGTAATCAACACAATGAATCATGGAGGAAGCTTTATAATCATCTGGAGTTACTTCCTTGCTGCAAATATGTCAGAGATATTGTAAAAGGAACCATGAAGGAGGAGGACTACCATTCCATCCTAGTACATCGTGCCATTCCAAGTATAATATGACTAATTAGTAAATGGTTTATTTTCCGACAGAATAATGACCCAAAGCACACCACACTCACTAACAGTAAGTTCTTGAGGCAGGCAAGAAACATTAAGCATATAGTGTATCACTCCAAAGCCTACACATGAACTCAATGGAAAAACTTAATATTTTGGGGTATCAGCCACAATCCCTAATTGCCAGTTATACCTAATAACCTAGGAAATGGAAAAATTTAAGTCAAGGTTAAATGGTGGTTTTTTTCAATATTTATAACTGAAAAACTGTTTTTACATGGCTTTATATGTTTTTATGACACTCTTTTTGAAAATTATTACATACATATATAGATAAAATACATATATATTCAGTTATGGTTAATATCTTATTTTTAGATATAGTTAAAAACTGGTACGTATGCAGTCGAATACTAAGAATTATAGGTTTGAAAATAATTACTATATTTTATATATATAATGAACTTGATTTTTGTTTATTACTATGCAGATAATAACTTGATCAAGAATAACAAAACTTGTTGCTATCTCCCATACTGTCACTTATAAAAAAAAAAAAACTAGATCAGATAATATAAGGGATTTACTTATTTTTATAATAAACTATAACTAAATCCCACCTTGCTCATTTATTAAAGTGTTTCATTACAATTCAACATTAAATCTACTACTATCTCACCCCTACAGATCTTTCTTTAATATAAATTTTAGATGTTTTACAAATATTTTAAAACACTTGTCAAACTTTTGGTTACGTAAAGTAAAAACACCAGATAAATAAAATTATATTATGTATTTTATTTATACAAAAATTGGTTTCATTTTTTACCATCCCATTGTCAAAGTTAATGTGTGGGATTTCAAATTTAATGGAAATTGTGGAAACTACCAGAATTGAAACTCTGTCTACAAATTTTTTTTACTAATCTCTTAACCTTTTCAGTACCCAAAATTGTTAAACTAAAATGATACTTTCTTATTAATGTTTTCCTATTAAAAACTTAATGATGTAAATAAATCCCACTATAAGATACTAAAAAAAAAATTATGATAAAGAAAATGCATTTCCACAGATAAAAAAAAACATACTTGTTTTGCAGAATTGCTTAACTCTGCAAGACATATTCTGTTCCACACGATAAACATTTTGATTGCAATTTATTTAGCAAATCAAAGAATAGATTAGTCTCCTTTGTCATTTTTTCTTCACTGAAATTCATATTTTGGCGAGGAACAAAAAATTCACAAACTGTACAATTGTTCTGCAGAATTGCTTAACTTGACACTCGAAGAAGAAGAATCACACAAAAAACAACTAATTCTTAAATTGATACTAAATTTGTTATGGTGATTATAGATGTGCCTCTAACTTGCAAGTGTTCAAACAGCAGTTTCTAGTAAGTTTAAACATACTTAACTTTGTTCTTCAAATCAATGATAAGAAATATCATAAGCTGTACAAGAGACTGTGAGTCTTCACCGTATCTAAAATTTACAAGTCTGTGTCTTAAACTGTTGAGTCTTGGACTCACTAAAAACAAACCCTAACATGTCATACATAACTTTTTCTTAATTGCATTTAGATTTACATCTTTTAACATACAAAAAGTGTTCCATATAAGTGTGGTATGTATTTCCTACCTTCTTATTTTTTAATGTAAACATCTTCAAAAATTTTCATTTATTCAAAGGCTACACAGTTTCCATATAACACATGGTCCAGAAGGTCATTAAGTTAGTTTCTAACTGCCTTTGTTCTTCTCTACCAGTGGGAGGTCTTGTTGTGCAAGAATGTAAATGATTGCAGTGGCCATCATTTGTATATCATATGATAGCTGTCGGTTACAGCTTCTACTAAAAAGAATGACCAGTCACATCAGTGGAATTAGTTTCTATGGGTCCATCTGACAACTCCCATTAAGAGAAATGTTAGACTTAAACAAAATTTTACACAATACCTCAAATGAGTTGGTTTACCAGAAGACATCTCAATGGTTGAAAATCTGTAGTTGATCATGAGTCAGTGAAAGGTGACCACCTGTGTCCAACATAAGTAGACACACTGTTTTTGTCTTTGAAAATAAAGTTTTCTTTTTGTGTCATACACCATGTTTAGTCTCTTTTATCTTAGCTTAATGTCAGTCAGTTTAGTTAAACTTGGCAGTACTTCATGATTTATCCTGCCAATCCTCCTGTTACTTTTTGTGTAAATCAGTTTATCTGGAGAATGAACATAAAGCTTACTCATGATGTTAAGAAATTGTGGGTTCAAAATATCAAGTTAACATAAAAATACAAAACCCCATAACCCAAATGCTTTAAAAGGTGGACCTTTCTTCATCAGGGGAATATTACTATGTAATTCAGTTTTGTAGAGATACATTTAATCTACTATCCGTGAACATCATAAAGGGACGGAGAACTGGTGATAGTGCAACAAACAAACTAGTTTCTATTAGCATAGTACATAGAATTAGAACTAACCTAAATCTCCTAAGGTGGCCTAACTGTGTGAGATATTACTTGGATTATAGCCAAAGTATATTGCTAATAGTAAGGGTTTACAGTTGATGAACTAACCTAAATCTCCTAAGGTGGCCTAACTGTGTGAGATATTACTTGGATTATAGCCAAAGTATATTGCTAATAGTAAGGGTTTACAGTTGATGAACCAATGCATTCTCATCTACCGAGTTAATCTTTAATTATGATCTATGTAGGTAGCTTGCATTGATCAGAAGTTGAGAACAAGTAAATGAACAATATAAATTTATTGTAAAGAAAAAATTTACTCAAAATTTGATAAATACATCTCAAAGGTAAGCATTTAATATCTGAGAATTTTGAAAAATTTAACCTTAACAACAAAAAGTGAAAAAAGATACAACTATAGTATGTAGCTGGATATTAATTACTGTTGAACATCAGGTTATGTAGGTCTGATATCTACATGGTGCCCTGATTTACCATCATATCTAATGAATGAATTATAATTTAGATGTTTGCTTATCTACTCTTCATCATGGAGAACCCATTCCATTGAATTGTATTTTGTACAGGTCTTTTGTAAGACCGTTGTTTAACTTTAAGAACTTATCATTTTGAACTTATGATGAAATGTGTAAAGATATTTTGCACTTAGTATAACATTCCAATAAAACTGATATATTAATTTCATTTATTTAATGTATTAAATCTATTACAGTCGATTTTGTACAACACTGTTTTATGTCAATGGTTCCCAACCTGTGGTACATGGAAGCCTTTGGAAAACAAAAAAAAAATTGTCTTTAAAACTGGGGGGTAGTCTCACTCTTGAATTATTTAACTTTTTATTATTAATTTCATTTTTAAGTTTTTTTAAAACTAATTATGTGTGTCAGGTATATGCTGCTGGCTCAAAGGTCTAACTGGGGGTATGTTACATAAAAAAAAAAGGATTAGAAACTACTGTTTCAGTTTACCCATGCACTGAAGTAATTTCACATTACAAGTGTTCATAAAATGGATAGATCTGTCTGCTTAATGATAAAATATTTTATTTGGAAACAAATTTTTAAATATCTGCTGATGTTAATTACTTTCATAAAACATGAATTTAAAAGTGCTGTTGAAGTGCTTTATGAACTTTTTTTTACACTAAACATTTTACTACAAGACATTTTCTATTTTCCACCATGCTCAATTATAAATGACTTTCAATATTTTATTCCATGATTCATAAATGTTTTGTGTCAACAATTCTAAACTAAGCAAAGCAATACACTACACTAATTCTCCTTCATCCAACTGAGCACTTTTGTAACGTGCTAATCCCCCCTCATTACAAAGGACAATACACACTTAAGCAGTCATTTGGTAATACCCTTATCATTGAAATAAGTATACATGACATACTGTTTTTCTATTTTCAAAAGCTACATAATATTAGTATCAATACTTGTTAATATGATATCAAAATAAGTTTATTTTACTTAATCGCAACTGTTAAGTTAATCAAAAGTCTTCTTGCCACAAAAAGTTTTTGATCATTATTTGTTAAAATAAACTTCATAGTTTGGCCAGAGCTTGATTTCATTTCTTACAAGTAAAAACTAAAATGTGCATCAGCATAATTACATTATATTCTATCAAACAACAGTACTAAACAGATTATTCATAAAAACTAAAATCTTGAAACCTAATTTAGTTTCAAACCAAAATGTACTTAACTCCACTATTTAAACTGCAAAGTAATGCATTTTCCAAGATATTGCAATACAAACTGTGTTCACAAATTTTGTATAAAACTAACTACTAAGATACATATGAACACTCAGAACAGTAAGAAAGAACCCATAACATCATCTTGGTTTTTACAGAACTACAACTGCTGGGCTTCATAATAAAGTAAGTTATATGAAAACTAACATTATAATAGTAAAACGTTTTTTAAATACAAAAAAACAACTTTCATAAGAACATGCAGTGACAGAATCCATCAGGTCACTTTCAAACCTCAAACAATTCTAAATATTCTGACATGTTGACAGAATCTACTTAACTACATTTATTTTCCCATTTCTTCTCACTTTTCATCAGACATGTTTAATGGTGGTGGAATATTTTCAGTGTTCCTAGTAGTAGTAGTAGTATTGTTGGTATTAGAATTATCCAGAAATCCTACTTGCTCTGCAATTTGAAGAAGTTGTTCTGTTGCTGAAGGCATTAAAGGCTGGTACTCTGATCGCTCCTTTTCAGGGAAAGTAGTAACATTCAAGTAGCTCGGTTTATGTGTGAATGGATTCCATATACCTTGAATGCTAGGATGATCAGTATGCCAGTGCTTCCTTAATCTTATTATTGGGAAACCCGATTTGTTTTTCATGTACTCCAACCATTTGCGCACCTCATCTCTAGTAAAGTTGTTGCAAGTAATGTAATCTTTGTGTCCATTCAGATACTCGGCGCACATATAGGTTCCTCTGTGTCGGCGTGGTTTTAAATACACAACCGTTCCAGGGTTTGCCCGAGCAAAGTCTACGAGATCGGTTTCAATAAATTCTCTTACGCCTTTACTACTTCCACTACTCTTGCAGAATATCAGATTTATCCTCTGTAATTGATTAACAAATCGACCTACACCATTTTGTAAATTAGTTTTAATGAAACCACTTTGTAAAAATAGGTGACGATGTGACATGATGAAACTACTTTTACTCTTACTTATGTACGTGCCTATTATTTTCTATTACGCCACCTAGTATTTAGCCGTAATATGAAATAATATTATTACTATTTTATATATCAAGAAATATATATGTATATGCATTATTTACCGTTTGGAAGTTTCTCGAGTAAAATACTTCCATAAAACTAAATAGATAATTAAATATGTTGTATTCAAGTATTTCTCGTATCTCAAAAATGAGCATTTGTAAAAGCTTAAGTGAATTTTGCAACAATATATAGTCTTATAACAGGATTAAATTCATGTTTCCTCACAGTTGTAAAGTCCAGTATTTTTCGTCAGTGAAAAATATATATAGCTGGAAATTATTGTTCTCCATAATGGTATGTGACGATGTTTAACTGTTTAGAATAATTATGTTGGCTACCAGAATTATGGCTGATTCCTTTTCATGGTCTTGCCTCCCAGTGGCACAGCGGCATGTTTGCAGTCTTACAACAGGTTTCGATATCCGTGGTGGACAGAGCACAGAGAGTTCATTGTGTAGCTTTATGATTAATTACAAACAAACAAAATCATTGACCCCTAATGGCTCAGCGGTAAATCTGAAGGCTTATAACGCTAAGCACCGTTTTTCGATACCCGTAGTGATCATAGCACAAATAGCCCATTGTGCAGCTTTGCGCTTCACAACAAATAAACAAACAAACCCTTTTCATTGAATTTTAGCTCTGAAAGATGACATCACAAATATGATTCTTCGCATTAGAAATACTATATTGGCAGAAATTGACTTTTACATGCTTTGATTATGATACTTTACGAAACTAAATATTTTTTTCCATAAAAGGTAAATTAATTAAGATCTACAACATAATTTTCAATAGCCGTTATCCTCTTTGTTTGTTTTAACGCAAAACTACACATAGGGCTATCAGCATTATATAAACTGTGAAGAATCGAATCCCGGATTTTAGGAGACAAATTAATAATTGTTGTTTGTTTATTGGATAATCGTGCAAAGCTACTCAGTGGTTATCTGCGTTAGCGGTCGGTAATTTTGAATTGGGCGTTATCCAGCACCTAGAGCTCAAAGAGCGGAGCATAATTTTCGTGTGTGCGAACGGAATGCGAACGATGCTCCGCAGATTCATAGTCCAGCACGCTGACCAATGAGTCACATTCGGCTCAACCTCTGTTCACATTGAAATATAATACCAAAAAGTATGTTTTTTTAAACATGAAGTGCTAAGAAATGTTTACAAGATCAAGATGTGGTTTAATTAAAGCCCCCCTCCCCATTTCAAAGTTCGCTTACTGTCAGAACCGGAACAATTATGAATCTCAACTTAACAGAATATTTTATTTTGGTATGTTAATTTTTTTCTCTAAATTTCTGCACAGTTTTAGCATGTAGCTAATCACCTCCTGTTAATTAGATGCATCTTGTATAGGTAAGGGTTACATAATGCAGTCTTTATTCTAAGTGTTAAACCAGAGTGCATGTGTTAAATTCCTTGAAATGCAGCCTATTCAAACATGTAATACAAAAACCTGTACCACTGTCCTGGCTATGAGTTTTATGTGAATTGTTGATTGAGGTATATAACATGAAGACTGGGGAGATATGTCACTGGGGCTTTTGCCTGACAGAAACTGGGTATCAATACAAGTAGGTCCTCTGTATTAGGTCTCCTTCGTCTTGGAAAGACTCATTTGTGATATGTGAGTAGTCATACGGTTACTAAGTTCTATAGTGATATAGGTTTTTTTTAAAAAAAAATCGATTATTAGGTCTCCCTACTATCATGGCGGTAACACGTGGTCCAGGAAAAGGTAAGTTTACAGTGCTCCAGTCATTCTCCTTTCCTTATGCTCTTGTATTTGATGTATCGTCTACCTGTGGGATATTGTGATATCTGTTCGCTGGCTGATGATGACGTCGCTAAAGGCCACAGCCGACCAATCCTGTGGATAGCTAAAGACCACGAGGTGACGTTTTAATCGAAACAATGGTTTGGTTTAATTTAATAGGGTTGTTTAAACATTTGTTTAACAACAAGTAAAAGCTTGGAATGGTCTATTCTTTCACTGGGGGGGGGGGGTGGTAAAACACTTAAATACACCAGTTTTGTTATGAATTTCGCGCAAAGCTACACGAGAGCTATCTGCGCTAGCCCTCCCTAATTTTGCAGTAAAGATTAGAGGGAATTCTTCGGCTACTATTTTACTAACGAATAGTGGGATTGATCGTAACATTATGACGCCCCCACGACTGAAAGGGCGAGCATGTTTGGTGGGACAGAGATTCAAACCCGCGACCCGAAGAATGCGAGTCGAGCCCCCTAACCACCTGCATATGCCAGGCCGTAGTTGAAACTAAGAAAACAAGCTTATCTGGAAGTTTGAGCGCGCTTTCATTAGTCAATTCAAGCTAGTTCTATTAGACGATTGGAAGTAGAGACCTGCATACTAAAGGATAATAGTTTTTAGTTTCTCTAGTAGATGATTTTGCGAGAGAAGAAGCTAAAGACTATCCTAGTATAACCAATTATCCTGTTGTTTGCATGGGTACGCTTGCTGTTTTCTTTTATTTCTCAGTAATAAAGATTATGTTTTATTTTCGTGAATTTTGTCCAATCTATTTATTACTCACACATAATCCTTACTCGTCTTAATTAACAATCTCTAGATTTTACAAGAGTTTCAGGAAACGCTTTTACAAACGGAAATGAACTTTCTAGACGTAATAGTACTTGAAACCAAGAGGAAGAGTTTAGCAGTGGAGAGAGATGATCGCGTGAGAGAGGCGTCGTGTCTAGGAGAAGCCCTCTCCTGAATATAGGACTTTTACCGATGCTGCGAAGATCCATAACGTCGGATATCCTTCAGTTGCCTACTCATGATTTACTCGTTTCTGGAGCACCCAGACCAGTTGAGCAGCTGGTGCTCCTGAAGATCGACTATGGTAAATGGAAAACTCGAGACAACTTGAGGGGGTCTCTATTAAACTCCCAGGCTTTTACAAGCCAGAACACGGCAGCCCAAACTCTGGTCAGTGGAGGACAGAGGCATGGTGGAGAAATAGAACCTACAGGCAAGGAACCCCCCCCCCCTAACTATCGATGGCAGTTCGAGGCACCTGGGGTCATACAGAATCAAGGGCATCAGTAGCAACTTCTCCCGGCCTTTGTTAGGAGTATGATAGGTTAGCACCTAGCGCACAGGGCTCTATGAACGAGGACAAACATATTACACTACTATTGTTCAAGGGAACAGCAGGAGAAAACTTAGACCAGTTCCTTGGAATAGATATTCTGAGAAGCAGACTGTGCAATGTCAGATCCTGAGTTTAGCTGGTCCGACCCCCAATGCAATCAACCATTTTGACAAGGAAAAACAAGGCAACTGAGCAATCATCGTCTATGAACTACGTTGTTGATTTGGCCCTGTAGGGAATCATGTGATCTACTGAGCCGAGTTTAAGGCTAGGAAGAGGATCGGTGCCAAAGAACTAACCATCCAGGTGGACGACTTGTGGCATTTGCATGACAAGGCTTACCTAGCAATGGTCTTGGCAGATCAAGAAAATATTCTAGTTAACAAGTAAACCTGCAACTCTCTCAACAGATGACCCAATCTGCGGTAGACAAGGCCAGTGAGGAAGACATTAGTGTGTGCCAGGTCCATGTAATTTGTAGCAGTTATGGGACAATAGTGTGTGTCAGGTCTATGTAGTGTGTGGCAGTTATGGTACAATAGTGTGTGTCAGGTCCATGTAATATGTGGCAGTTTTGCTGAAGGCTCGCGTGTATCTCCCAAAAATACTGTAGTATACCCTGAGGGTGGTGTTGACTTGTCTCAAGATGAGAAATAAATGGTAAAAAACAGTAAAGGAAAATAAAACATTAGAAAATAAGTATATGTGAAAAGAAAAAGACCTGAAATTACAAATACCATCAAAAGAAAATCTTTTAAGATATTCTACAAAAAATTAAATGGTACGCTGTAGAGTTCATGCAAATGAATACGAAAACTGCACGATGAAGAAAAATATTGTTATACTTAAAATGAAAATCACATTGCACTCGATTTGTTACTAGTTTGAATGCAAGTTATTACAATATAAAAATAACATGTTTTTAGTATAAACACTAAATTTAAATATCGTCATTCTTTGTGTACAAGATACTCATAATCTTTAATGAAATCTCACCAGTTTTTGTGAGGATATGATAAGAAATCTCAGTTACATTATGTATGGTTAATATAAATTGTATTTCGTATAATGTTTTTTGTTTAAGAAATTACAAGTGGGGTAAATAATGTTTGTGTGAAATATTTTGCAAGTGAAAAACTAAAGTTGAAATTGAAGTCAATCGACATGTGATGACAGTGACATTACGCCATCGTGTACCATACTCATTGAACTAAAAGTTTGACTAAGCAAACATTAGGTATGGTTATTCTGAATGGAAAAGGTAATATGCAATCTGGACTCCACGAACAAAGGCCTTTCTAACGATATGAGATTTGTAGCGTTTAATCGAGAAACTGTGAGACAGGTTCTGGACAGACACTGCAAGAATAGGGAGACCGGGGCTAGTTGTTACAGGGGCAAGTTGATACAGTGCCTCTAGCTCTTGTTGAGATTAATTGACGGCGATAGTTCACGGACCATCGAACACGTGTTGCACAAGCTTTGTTTTAATGGCGGCATAAATAAGATCAGTCACGAAATAAAAAGGTATGTACATTTTCTGTTTTTGCATACCTTAACAACAAAAAAATGTCTAGGAAATATCTATTTACTCTTTATATACTGTGTTTTGATACTGTTCTTATTAGTTGTAGACTTCGATAGTTAATACCTCTTAATATACGATAACATTGAGTTATGTTGTTTGACGATGAATTAGTATGGAGACATTGTTATACCCCATGTCGATATGGGGCATGTTGTAACAACATGCCCCAAAGTTCATCAAAAAGGTGTAATGCACATGAAATATTAATGAATTACATTTTTTTACAGATCAATTG